AGAGGTAAGTGCAGTGAATGGTTCTGGGTTTTCTGACTGTTTCCTCACAGGCTACATACCAGCTACATCATAAGTGCTCAGTTCTTGTGGTGTGCCATGTTTTATAAAACATACTGCAGCAACCAAAGCAGTTATGGATTATTTAGATTACTGTTGAATTGTCTGCTTCTTTGGAAGAAGAAGACAGCTGCCATATTTCAATTCCCTGTTGTTTACAGGATTCAGAAAAGAGCCCTCATAAGCCAGCCTGTTTTTGCTCGATAGGATATGGTCTAGGATAATAAATGCAAATGAATGCTGTTGTTTTTGATCCAGTATATAGACCGCAGCATTAGATTTATTTAGTGTAGAGCTAAATGCTTCTTTAAAATGCTCCACTTGGTTAATTTTATTGTCCTAAAATTACAATATTAAAGGGAACTATTATAATTTTACATACTCCATACAAAAAAATGGCTACATATTATAATATATGTACTATGTATTATATTAAGTCGATAATAAGTCTAGTTTTCTGTGTTAAGCTATGATATCTTACCTGGTCCTGCTCCAGGTGTTATGTAGACAGTATGGCGGCTATTGAGGGGGACAGCCTGGTAGGAGTCATCATATGGGTCATATGTGAACACCTACAGTGAAAAAAGCAAAGCACTACTTTTAGCTCTGTGGTGGAAACACTATCTGAGAGCTTGCTGATCGTGTTTAAGCTTTTTACAGAAAGCATGAAGCACTCACCGGGTTTCTTCTGGTCTGCAGCAGAGTCAGTTTCCACGCTCTGAAAAATAAACAAGCAGGACTGAGAAACTGAGGGACGGTTGTGAAGTAAAGCAGAGAATAATGAGGCGAAGCGTGAGTACCTACATTGATTCGTCTTCACTGTTTGCGCACAGGTTGAGTGTTGAGCCGTCCATGAGGTGAACCACGACGAGATTCTCCCTGGGATTGCTCTCTGGTGGAGTCACACCTGGAGTAAAATTAAAGGAGTAAATTACCCATATTTGTTAACCCCTTAGCAGTCGGACGTACCGCCCACGGGACATTGGATGGTTTAGGGGACTAATTGGACTGCTAAGGGGTTAAAGGTAAACCAAAGGTGAGAATGAATGAGCTAAAGCTTCTTTCCTATTTTATAGCAAACTGCGACCAGGCCTACTGTAAGAATACACGTTTTTGCCATGGACATGGTAATCTATTATCATGAGATATTTTCTTCTAAACTTCTATACAGTCTGACCAATATGGTCTTTAAAATACTGCACATTTAAAGCACTTCTGTGTGTCAGCGTTCACACTTAAATAGTGATGGAACATGTTCGCTTCTGGGTATAATTGTATCACAGATCCGTGCCGTACCTCCACATTCCTGACCGGACTGCACATCTATGCATGCTAGTTTGAGACTGACGCGATGCTCCAGCTCTCGCCTGTTGTCTGACTTGTAAAAGCAAAGACTCCCATCGATCCAAAGGTCACACCAGTTGAGCTTCCAGCGTTTTAGGACAGAAGCTGGAGAGGAGACACATGCCACATTGTAAAATTAGTGCATGGTAAGGTGCTGGGATAACTTTAAACTTCAGTTTAACATCCTTCTGTTGCAGGCCTCACATCTCAGGTGATTTAGTAGTTGCTTTTGAATGTAGTCCCACCCCTACCCCTCCCACCAAGCAGGTGTATCTCCATTGAGTGTCCTTGATAAGCCACTTAAAGGCATGGCCAAGAACAAATAATGAGATTACAAGTTACAAAGGGTAGAGTTTCATAATGCGTGAAGTTTTCTAGAAAATCCTCAGTGTCGAGTTTGCAATCTGGTCACTAACACAAATACACAACACAACATACATGAAAAACAGCCCACATGTATTAGCTATGATTAGAATAAAGCTAATAAATGATAGTAGAATTTAAAGCTTTAAAACTCTGGGATGTTGTTATGAACCAATGCAGTATTGGTCATCTGTAGACACAAAGCATCTAACCGAGCAGTTAGCAGTTTGAAGCAGGCAGCTGTATTTAGTGAGCTGCTTTAAAATTCAAAGGATAGCCTTCACAGAGATATGCAGCACACTGCCTGTCCCACGATAAAATTGTAATCTGCAAAAATGCAAAAGGTTTCAAATACATTTCACTGTGCTAAGTGTTATCACTTTATTCAACGCAGTTTAACATTTACCCAAAAAGGTGAGGTAAAATGTGCATGTAACATGCTACATGTCACATGACTAGTCTAGATGTTGATGCTCATACTTAGTCAAACTCCTTAAAAACAGAAAAGTAAAAGAAAATGCAACGGCCCTTATCACTACACTTAACAAATGCAGGTGAAATGGGTGAATATTATTTTAATTATAAGTCTTGTCCTGTAGGTCTTGTCTCTTAAAGCACCCAAAAAATGAAGCCTACATGTTTTTATACATTAACTGAACCGAATAATCGAACCTTTAAGTTACTAGCACTAATTTTATTATAGAATTCCCTGAATTTGTGAAGAAAAAAAACTTACTCTGTCTCCACAACCAGCTTGATTTCAGGAGCGCCATAATCCTCGGATGTTGTTCTTGTTATTAGTTTGCTGTGATAATAATCCAGGAGCAAAAGGCTTGCTTATGTCTAAGAGACTCTGCTGTTGGAGGCCTTTGCCTGGGTTTATATGGCCTCTGTCCTGCGGATATTGAGGTATTGGTAGATTAATCTGGCTCTCACCAGGACTGACACTGATTCAGAGGATCATTCTGGATTAGGAGACCACGCCCTCTCTCAACCCCCCCATCACTCTTTCTGAACTGATTTCTCTATCACACACTTGCACTGTGGGCCACACAATGTTTAAGTTGTTGAACACTCTTATTACATAAACTAAACTCCTGTAGGCCTCAATCCACAGATTCATCTGCACATGCATGACATGCTTTTACAATTTAATCCCTGTCCTAAAATAACATCCAGAGGATTAGCCTAATATTACCCAGGTCAGTTCTGTCAGTCTTCTCAGAATGTCTGCAGGTGATGCATGATGACATCATTTCCTTTTCTAGCCTACAGAAAGTTCTGGTCTTGTTTACATCAGCTCAGTCTCCTGATGGTGTGTTTACACCAGTTCCTAAATTCGGAACTAGTTTTTGTTTGTTTGTTTGTTTGTTTGTTTGTTTGTTTGTTTGTTTGTTTGTTTGTTTGTTTGTTTGTTTGTTTTGTTTGTTTTGTTTGTTTTGTTTGTTTGTTTGTTTGTTTTAACTGTGTGTCAATATGTTATGTTGTCACACCCCATACAAGCTCTGAAATGGCGGCTTTCCTCCCATTGTTACAGTTTTTCCATGAACCACTTGGTGATTATTGTTGATGAACAGTTTTGAAACTCGGCATGAACTAAATATTAATATATACAATTTTATTAATAATAATAATGACGATACACTGAGTGTTAATGGTTTACTGGAGCATGCCTCTCTGTTTTTAAGGGACACAAAAGCACGTACCCACAGGTAAAATGGTAGAGAAGTTGCAGAAGTGGTTCTGTTTCTTTAGGAGTTGCTATTTGACATCCAGGGCATGACTTGTCTTGTAAACATTTCAATCACAGTGGGGATCGTGGAGAATCTTGACTGCCGCCTCTCATAATTCCCAGCAGGCGTCTTTATTTGAAAGCTCGGCTCACTGCAGTCAGAAGACGTATATGTGCTGCTGTTGTGTTTGATGAACAGAATCCGCTCTCTGATTGTCAAATTTTTCATTTTAATATATTTCTTCTTATCTAAAGCTTTTTTCCCCTCTAAGTGATGTTTCTCTCGGTCCCTTCATATAACTCCTGCTGTTTTATTTAAGAGTTGAACCCCTGAAATCAGTTATAATCTGACATTTTTCAGTAGCCAGCTTCCATCATGTTTGCCATAGAAATATTTTAATGTATACCCAAAATGTTGGCATTTAATACTCAGTCTAAAACATACACAGTAACTCAGTCAGACATCTTTCTTTGCCCAGTTTACCCACTATTACTCTTCTCCACATCTTCAGTTCATCTGAACCTTCCCTAATGGTCGCTACCAGTGAAAACCATTACATCTTCAGCTCTGCCACCTTTTTGTCAGTGCCACGGTCTCCAAACTATACATCAGAGCAGGTCTCACTTCAATCTTGTAAACATTCCCTTCTTACTGTTCTTCTGTCACACCAGAGAGAGAGTGAGAGGTGAGTAAATATTGGCGGATGAACCACATAAAATACTGACGTCAACTCATGAATGAATGAAAAAGTACTGAAACCACTATATAATGGAATAAATGGCTTTTGGTGTGCACATTCAAAAATAATTTTACAAAGCAATAAAGACTAAAGTAAGAAAATAAATGCGAAGAATGCTAATTTACAAATGTCATGTTGATTTTTGTATTTAATGGTAAAGTTTATGACATTTCACAGTGGTTAAAAAAAGAATGGTTCCTCCAAATGGGCTTTTTCTTTCCTTTCTTCCACTTCATGAGCACTTGCATGCACCAAGAGTTTAGAGCCTGATAAATGTGAACATTTATTGATGAAAACATGGCAAAATGGCCTTTTCTGCTCTATTTTTGATCCCGTGTGCATGAGAGAAAAGCCAAAATAAATTCAAACTCTTGAACCCAGTTCTTTTTTTTTTTGTCATTAAAGATGTATGCTCAGAGAAATCCTTAAAAGCCCCAAACTACCATGACATCCGTGGCCATGATGAGAGTAAACTTCTGATGATTTCTCTTAGCAAATGTGCTGCGTCTAACTGTTTGTCGTCATGTTCCTCCTCTGCAAAGCTATAAAACACGAAAGCTATTTAAAAGTAAATCATGACATATAGATCAGTAAAGTAACAATAAACACATCGAACTACATATTGCTCCTCCAGGATCACTGAATAAAGAGTGCAACAGCGTGACTTACTCACAAATTGGTCCAAATCACAGTTTGTTTCTCCCCCAAAACTCTCCTGACTGTTCCACAGTGTTTGTGGTTAGGTTGGAGGAGCTGCAGATGCTTGTGTACGGATAGAGCCGAATTATAATCATGGCTGTATGAAATATTTACTGTTGGGAGATATGATGTAAACCCCAGGGTTATGATCTGAATGTAGCACAAATGTGGAAAACAAAAGAGAGACGGAGAGAGAGGGACGCTATGTTTGTTGGCTGCTTTTTGTCTGCTGTTGTGCAACTCCCACAGCTGCAGCGGCGGACAGACGGCTCACTCACTACTCGGTGGGTCAACAAAACTTTTGGATATCTCTGTAACTCATTGGCGGTGTGGCACAGTCGCATTATTTGAGCCATGGGTGGACTTTGGACAGATTCGTGCACAACAGCTCCTGGCAGAAAGAGATAACACCACAGATTTTTTTTTTTTATCCATTTAGAAGCACGGTGGTCTCGGAAGTGATCTAAAGGTGAAGGGGCTATGTTAGCAGGTGTTTGATTTTATAGTTAAAGTTATTAAAAATTATATGGAAAAAGGGAGAAGACTGACAGTGAGAGAACATTTATAGAGTTGGAAAAGTCAACATCCTCCTGGGTAAATCCATAAATGACTAAATAAAGCTTCATAGAAATACAGATATGAGTTGAAGTGTTATTTCAGTCCAGATCAATGTGAGGGAGCCACAGTCTCCACTGAGACACAGTTAAATATCAATTAAAACTAAATCTTTGTACCAAGTGTTTTATTTATTTATTTAATATTTACCAAACTAAAATACATACACTACGTAAAACCAGGTACATTTCGACCTTTCAGCCCTAAACTGCTGCACATGCGCTGATGAATCAGATTAAAATCTTCAATTTTCTTATTGCTGAGGATCTTCTGGGGGCCAAAGACTCCTCCAGATGGCTGATAGCCTGCTTTGGTCTCACAGAGCTGGTATAACACAGAGCTCAAGACTAAACATTATTGGCAAACTTACAGTGAAATTGCGCATAACTTTATTAAAAATGATGTACCTTTTTGTTTTTGATCAATTAAAAGCTCTACTTTCAGGCCAAAAACAAACTTAT